TGCCGAGAGACCATCTCCCCATCCCCAAACATCTCCTTATCTCCCTTCCAATCGTAGCCATTTCGAGTCGATGTCAGCTGTCCCCTCACGAACGCCGTGCCTAAGTGCCCTCGTGGCTCTGGCGCTGGCGGTCTGCGCGGGGCCGGTGGGGGCGCAACTGATCGAGAAGCTGCCCGAAGAGATGCAGGGCGTCGGCGTCGACGACAAGTCGGGCTCTCAGGTGCCGCTCGACCTGCGCTTCCGTGATGAGAACGGCAAGGCGATCACGCTGGCCGAGGTCTTCACGGGCGACCGCCCCGTCCTGTTGTCGCTCAACTACAGCGACTGCCCCATGCTGTGCGGCCTGCAGCTCAACGGCCTGTTCGACACGCTCGCCGAGATCACCGAGGCCAAGGGCTGGACGCCCGGCCGCGAGTTCGATGTGGTGAGCGTCAGCGTCGATCCGCTGGAGACAACCCTCCGCGCCAAACAGACCGAGCAAAAGTACCTCCAGCGTTACGGCCGCGCCGGCGCTGCCGAGGGGGTCCGCTTCTTGACGGGCAACCAAGAGAACATCCGCGCGCTCGCCGACGCCGTCGGCTTCCGTTACAAGTATATCCCCGACACGCGCGAGTACTCGCACACCGCGGCGGAGATCGTCGTCACGCCGAAGGGCGTGGTGTCGCGTTACCTGTACGGCGTCGCGTACGACCCGCAGACGCTCCGGCTGTCATTGATCGAGGCCGCCGATGGCAAAATTGGCTCTCCACTCGATCAGATTATCTTGTTCTGCTTCCACTATGACGAGACCAAGGGCCGCTACGGCCCGGTCGCCCGTCGAGTGATGAGTGTCGGCGCGGGGGTGACCATTTTCGCGATGTGCGCGGGGTTGTTGCCTTACTGGCTGCGTCGCACGCCTTCTAGCGCCGCTGCCAACGACGCTACGTCAATCAACCCCGCTGAGCCGCAAGCGGCCGAGCGGGAGCCTAACGAAGTCGCCTGATACCGATGTCGCCCGTTTCGCCCATGCAAATCCCGCTCGCGTCGTTCGGCACGTTCGACCAGTTCCGCGACGCCGCCTCGACCGGCGCCGCGGCGATCGACACGCTGTACTTCTGGATCCTCGGGATCTGCGCGTTCTTCTTCTTCCTGATCGTGGCGGTCCTGGTGGCGTTCATCGCGCGCTACTACGCCCGGCCCGGTCACGTCGAGCAGCACACGCCCCATCACGACAACCGCCTCGAAGCGTTGTGGTCGATCATCCCCAGCTTCATCGTTGTGGCGCTGTTCTGGTACGGCGTGCTCTTCTACCTCGACCTGCGGACGCCCCCCGAGAACGCGTACGAGATCCAGGTCGTTGCGAAGAAGTGGAACTGGTCGTTCATGTACCCCAACGGGGTCGTCGACCCGAACCTTCACGTCCCCGCCGACCGTGACGTGCGGCTGGTGATGGCGAGCGACGACGTGCTGCACAGCCTCTACGTCCCGGCCTTCCGGGTGAAGATGGACGTGGTGCCCGGTCGGTATAGCGAGTTGTGGTTCAACGCCACGACGCCGACCGAATCGTTCGACCCGGCAATCGACCCGAGCACCACCGGCGCCGACGAGAACGGCTACGACCTGTTCTGCACCGAGTACTGCGGCCAGGGCCACTCGGCCATGATCGCGAAGGTGGTCGTCCACAAGTCGGGCACCTTCGAGACATGGCTCGCCGAAGCGGCGCGGATCGACCCGACGAGCTCGCCGGCGGAGTTGGGCGAAAAGATCTGGAAGCAGCGCGGCTGCTCACAGTGCCACTCGGTCGATGGCAAGGCGTCGACCGGCCCGACGTGGCAGGGCACCTACGGCACCGAGCAGAAGACCGACAAGGGGACCGTCAAGGTCGACGAGAACTACATCCGCGAGTCGATCCTCAACCCAATGGCTCAGATCCGCGACGGTTTTAAGGGCGTCATGCCGAGCTATCAGGGTCAGCTCAAGGACGCCGAGATCGCGGCCGTCATCTACTACATGAAGAAGCTCAGCGCCGAAGCCGACAGCGTCCCGGCGACGTGGGAAGACGCCGGCGGTGTGCCGGGCCAAGAGGAAGGCGAGGGGTCGGCCGAGGGCGTCGATACATCGCCCGGCGACGGGCTCGACGCCGACGAGCCGATTCCCGCCGAAGAGCAAACTCCCGCGGACAAGCCGGACTCGGAAGAAGCCGCCGCCGAGAAGATGGATGTCGAGGAGCCAAAGACCGGCGAGCAACCCGAGACGGACGACGCCGAGACCGCCACCGAATCGTAGGCCGCGAAGGGACCGCGTCGCGAGACGACGCGACTCGCTGACCTACCGAAGAAATAGCTAACTGCTAACGCCTAACCGCTAACAGCTACCATGATTTCCCAATCCCGCGAGCACTCGCTTCTCCAGGCGATCGCCGAGGACCCCAGCCGCAAGGTGTTCATCCCGCAAGGGCGGAGCTACCTCGCCAATCCCCCCGGGATGACCTTCTGGCAGGCCGTCTCGTCGTGGGCGTTCACGCTCGACCACAAGCGCATCGGCGTGATGTACTTGTGCGGCGTGATGTCGGCGTTCCTGCTGGGCGGCATCTTCGCCGGCGCGGTGCGGTTGGAACTGTGGAACGGCACGCCCGGTCTGTTCCACGACAACGTCCAACAAGCGCAGGACTTCTACAACCAGATGTTCACGCTCCACGGGGCGGTGATGACGTTCCTGTTCATCATCCCGAGCATCCCCGCGGCGCTGGGCAATATCTTCTTGCCGATGATGCTGGGGGCGAAGGACGTGGCGTTCCCACGGATGAACCTCGCCAGCTTCCACCTGTGGTGCATCGGCGCGGTCTTCTTCTTGATCACGCTGCTCACGTCCGGCCTCGATACGGGCTGGACCTTCTACACGCCCTACAGCACCTCGACGCAGACAAGCGTCATCTTCGCGACGATGGGCGTCTTTATCCTCGGGTTCAGCTCGATCTTCAC